AGTAGGATGTTGTGGAGGGTTCAAAGTCTTAAGAGTGAGAGATTTGCATGCTTAGTCTTTGGATTTGATGTCTTCTTGATTTCTTTTCAGTCCCAAAGCTATTCACCAGCTAGGCTGCTTAATTGTAGTTGTACGTCCATCAGTCAGACTAAGCAGAATCTTAAAGTGATGTATGGATGCTAAGACAGATGATGATTAGGTTTTTACTGAGAAACTGTATCCGTGAAAGTGATGAAGAAAGTATACAGGAAGTTGACCAACGTCTGAGCAAGTGTTCATGGTAATCTACAGACATCCAAAGTAATTTTTTTGTAGCTCTGTCCTCTTTGTTGCCTCTAACAAAGTGAAATCTGTGCAAACTGAAGCAGTTTATGTTCCTGGTTTAACTGCCTCAAGTTACTTTGATGTTTTAGCACCTTTTAGATTCATAATATCACCTGAAAAGCTTGTAGAAAAAAATATCTATCAGCATATATTGTACTCACTTTGTGTAGCGTTGCTTCATTAATAAAGATGACAGCAAAATGCTTTTAATGCATGTAAATAGTGCCAGAAATTGTGTGAATTTATGATTTCTTTGTAAAAATTTCACTTTGGTAGAACATTTGGGCTTTGTGGTAATACAGAGCAAACATCTGGAAAGTGCACAGCCGCTGGTAGAGAAATTCAGTCTTCAGCTCAGAGTGACTTACACAGAATGAGATACAATTGGTACAGAGTTTAGATACACAATGTCACTAATTCAAGTTGAATTTAACCTTTAAAAAGCAAATTATTTAGTCACAAATACATTTAAAGTAAGGCGGAGAGTTCTGAAAGAATTGCATGTGAGATTAAACTCATTAAAAAATGTGAGCGTTACAGCAATAATGTAAAATGAACAAATAACGTTATTTAAGTTTCAAACCTACACTCATTGCCACTTATGGTACACCTGTTCAGGTGCTTGTTAGTGCAAATATCTCATCAGCCAATCACATGTCAGCAACTAAGTACATTTAGGCACGCAGACATGATCAAAAGGACCTCCTGAATTTCAAACCGAACATCCGAATGGGGAAAAAAGATGATTTAAGGGACTTTGAACGTGGCATGACTGTTGGTACCACAGTGCTCTGTACATTTCACAAACTGCTAATCTGTTGGGAACCATCTGTGGGGTTTACAGATGGTCTGAAAATATCCAGTGAGCATGAGTTCTCTGCGTGAAAATGGCCAGACTCCTTTAAGCTGGTAGTCAGGCAACAATAACTCAAATAACCACTACAACTGAGGTATGTAGAAGAACATCTCTGTATCCACAAGACATCAAACCTAGAAGCTACGGCAGCAGAAGGCCACACTGGGTGCCACTCCTGTGAGGAAAATAAGGTTACAGTATGCACAGGCCCACCACAAGTTAGACAATATGGTATTTGAAGCATATTATCTGGCCATGATAGAAACTGTGAGGTTTTCTGAGGAATATTTCCAGCAACTTGTTGAAACTATGCCACAAAAGCTCTGAAAGAAAGCAAAAGGGGATCCAACCTGGCAAAAGCACAGTGTTGAAGTGGTTAGTAGTTCCCCTGCACTTTAAATCAAAGCTGAACAACGTAGGCGAGAGCTGTCCCGTCACAACTCAAACACAAGTTCAGAACACTTCTGTTAGAATTGAAATGTTGTTCGACATTAGACACATTTATTTATACACTTTATCTGCAGAAAACAATGCATCTATTCAGACACTACTGAATATAACACTACTATGAATATTTCAGAGGAACAGACTTTATCTGGACTACTAATGCTTACATGTGAAATAAAAGGTCGATGAAACAAGCTTTTGCATGATTTGTAAAACTGAGATTTCTGCAGAGAACACACAGTTATATTGTTATTTAGTATATTCAAACTTTGTACAGGTGAGAAGAAATAAGAGATATTGAAAGATATTTTACAACCTACTTCATGTTTTCACTAAAAAAAACAAAAACAATACAAAAAAAAAAAAAACAGGGGGTATCCATCCATGAGGGGTGCGAGCAGAATTAAAGCTGGTATGAAAAGAATTTTTTATACCAGCCTTAATCTGATTACAGCTTCTTATTTTTAAACTCTGAAGGATCAGAACTGTGTTGAAGCTTAGTTTCAAAACAAAAATCTTAACCCTGAGTAACTTAACTGAGAAAAAAAACTGTTTCACATGTATGTATGTTTGAGAGGTAAAGGTGTAGATCAAACTTAAAGCAACTTAAACTGTGACTGATCAACTCTGCTTCGATTTCACAGCAAAATACTTATTAATGCTGTTACTGATTACAGGCTTTGTTATTAATTAATTCAACAGAACCAATTAGACACTGTTGCTATAGTTTGCACATCATTAACCTAAATGCACTGAAATAATACAGATGAAACAAAAGTAGAATTAAATAGAATCTTTATTGTTGGACACAGACATTGGAGGCAACTATTTAGACAGATATTAACATGAGAAAATCTGAAGTTATAGATTTTTGATCCAATCCAAGTTTCTTCCTTTTGGTTCACGTGGATGAGCTGGAATGTCGGGCATGTTTCCATCATCTCGCACGGGAACTGTGAAGAGAAAATAAGGTAGAAGTTTTAGGATGCTGAAACGTCAGCTTTCAATTACACTCGAACCTGCTGTGACATAAAGATCGCCAGTGTTTACCTGGGTAGTTGTACGGCACAGCTGCGTTCAACATTGCTGTATATTTTGTAAGTGGGCTGACGAACGGAAGAATGGCACCTGAGAAAAGACATTTGAACACATATGGCATTACACTCATAGTTCACTGTGCCTCTATAGGTCAATTGAGAATAATTGAATCATTGCACAAGGTGCACAGAAACATAATAAACACAGATAGCAACGACTCTGACTGGCATGGCTTTAAGTGTCAATATAAAGTTACTCATTTAAAATGCTGATTTATGAAAATTCAGACCAAAAGATTTTGGAGCCCTCTGACCAAAAACCGTTTGATGTTAACTTGTCCGGCATTTTGGACGAGTTTCATTAAGAAACTGTATAAACACTCCTCCCTCATTGAATTGCTTTGTTTAGATTCTTTAGCTTACTAATTTTCTCCAGTTTGAAACGAAATAATAATGCAGAAGAAGTGATTTCATGTTAGTTTTCACAACAAAATTCCTCCATGACTCAAACATCCACATATCTACTACTGTGGAATCAGCAAAGACGCATCAAATCGCTGGTCGTTGAATAACACGAGTAACCAAAGCCAACTGTCTGCAGTACATGAAGCAGAGTAACATAATAGGCGTGCAGATGGTGATGCCAAGTTAGGCGAGATTTTAGAGTCAAGCTGCCAAATAGTTTCTTAAATACACTGCTGGAAAGTTCATGGACAATGACACTGTTATTTTCTGATTATAACCTGATTTGATATTGGCCACAAAAATTCAGTAAATTCTGTATTGTGTTGTTAAATAATGTATTTATATCGAACTTTTCTACACCTACTTACCACACAAAGCACTTCAATCTACAAGTCACATGTTATCCAAATAGCACTGTATTCCATAAACTTTAAGCATATAGCTGCCCCACATCCACGGCCAGTTTCAAACCACCAACATGCATAAAAGTTTCAACTGTGAAAGGACGCTGGAACACAGCAAGGCTCGCTGGTGAAGTACACCATTGTACCACCTCTATACAACCCACTCTCTCTCTCGTTTGCAGGTAGTTCAAAATGCAGCTGCTCGACTCTTAACTTGTACAAAGAAAAGGCAGAATATCAGTCCTGTTTTAAGCCATAGATTACCTCCACAATATATTACAGATCTTTTAACTCCAGGTCACTGAGGTCATCATCACAACAACTTCTCTCATAAAAATTAAAAGTGATTGGGTTTTTGCTGTGTTTGCCCCCTGGCTCTGGAATAGTCTGCTACCCCACATAAGAAGCTGTTCAACAATAAACTGTTTTAAATCAGCTCTAAAAGATCGAAGCTCTATCTACTTTAAATTGCCTTTTGTCAAGTGTGAGGTGACTCGTGGATTTTAATTGGGTTCTTGAGACCTGGATTACAAGTGACTGTGCCTTTAAAGCACTTTGCTCAACTTCTGTTGTTTTAACATGTGCAATATAAATAAAAGGACTTGACACACAAAGACTATAACGTGCTTATTTGTTTTCTTTATTCGGTCTTTCCACGCTGGACATATAAATCGTATACTCAGTTAAATTAAACTGAACACAAGACAGCCACCCTAACATAAGCCTAAAACAGCGGATTATTGTGAGACGTATAGCTAGCAATCTTCTGATTAATATTTCATGTTGCCACACTGTCATTCATCGGCGTTGCAGAACTGCCATTGTATGTTATTTAAAGCTATGCTCCCTCTCCCTCTCTCTCTCTCGCTGCACCACTCTCTCACAGATTTCTAACAGGTTGGCTACTTACCAACCAGTCCAATTGCACAAGAAGCCATGATAACCGGCTCCTTGTTCCACGCATTCCTCAGGAAAGCTCCGATTCCTGCAGACAGAAACCCACGGGCAGGTTAAAAACCGCACCGAGTGACAGGCTACGTACGGTTAACCAATGCTAGCTAATGTTAGCAACACATCCAAGGTCACATTTTTCGAACGAATACATCAGAACTAAAGTACTTCTAAGATCCGGTTAGAGTAATTTTAAATATATAAGGCATTTATCTGTACTACCCGAGGGTCCAAGTAAACCGAATTTCACTGATTAGAAGTCAAAAAGATGACAAAATATACACATACCCGCCATATTGTCTGATGTAGTTTCCACCGAGCGAGTTCTCATGGGAAATGTAGTGACTGCTAAAATGACGTATAATTCCTGCGCCCGCCGCACGAAAACAGAGAGAGGGAAACAGGGGATCCCTGGAAGCTTCGGGATTGATTTAAGTCAGCTGTCATGCTATTAAACGGCCTTAGCTAAAGCTAAACAGAGAAAACGACACCGCACGCAGCTTGTGCTCAGGTTGATGATGACACTGGTCGAAGTGTCGCTTTAAACACACGTTAAAAACATCGTTTCGGGACTAACAAATGTAAGTACTATTAGACTAATGGGTTGTTTTAGTACTAAACAATAATCAGGCGTGGTGACATCAGAAGTCTAAAACACGGGAAATTCTTGTTTTGAACTTTTCAGCCGTTTTTACTCCACTGGGAACCCCGACCACTATATCAGGCTTTTACTGACTCACAAACAGCTGTTGAGTTACTGTAATTACTATCCAGATCTCAGCATCGCGCAGTAAAATAGTAGATTTAAATTTTGTGTTATAAGTTTATATCGGCAAATAATGTGCAACTAAATCTTTAAGATAAGTGTAGCGGAGTAAATCCTGAGCACCTCTTTTGCTGCAGGTACTTCCGCTATAAAGTCAGAGGACAGCTGCTGTCCACGTGGGTCAATTTCAGCCACTTTGCTTCACATACAAACTGAGTGGTTGGTTAAAACACCATTGGTGGCGCTAGGCAGTGAGGCCGTTGAATCCTATTTGCCCAGTGTATTTTCTAGTATTTCTTCTTGATGAATGACTCATAACCGCTGCACAGGCTGTTTACATTAACAGAGAAACTTCTTTCCCTCCAGATGATGGAGGATTTTTCTGGCTTGGCTCTGCCTCCTTTATTTGGAGGTCACATCCTGGAAGCAGAACTGGAGCCTGGTGGTGTGGAGCTGGGACCGGGAGAGGTAATTTTATTGATCTTTATAAAGGTGCTTGTCATGTTAGCACACGTGGTAACACTTAGTTAGTTTGCCAATTAATACAAATTCACAGCTCATTTAACCAAGTCTCCAATGTTGCCAGCAGATATGAATCAGTACACTGATGCAGAATTTATATAATATAATAGTAATGCTGGTCTTAAAAACCTTTAAATGAAGAAACACCAGTCATTATATTTGTTTAAACAAGACACTCATCCTTCACAGACATTTACTCCATTTTTTTCTGTCTTCTTTTTTGGTTCAGGAGTTTAGCTTTTTTAGTTTTCTCCATCTTTTCCCTTAGAAATGAGACTACATTAGTACTCGGAGAGCTGACCTTCTCCCTATGAACTTCGATCCTCTGTGACACAGATCTTATGCATGAAAATGTCACTGAATAGCTGCTACTTTACACATCATTGACCCCTCTCCTTTCCCATTAGAATTTTTAGAATATGGGGAGTTTGGCTCAAAGCACATGGTTACACTCCCATGTGCTACCCACATTTACATGTATTGGAGATTAATCTTTCTAATTCATTATACACTGCATAGCAGTTTTTATTTCCTAGCTCTTGCTGAATAATGTGGCTATAATAAGATGACTTTCTGCTTGACTTGGGTTTTGCTTTGAAACATTGAACAGGTAAAAGTGTTTTCTTGTGAGAACAAACAATGTGATGCCAGACACAAAACAATCCTGCTTTTGTATTTGTTTAGGTGGAGCTGGGTCCAGGAGGCACCGAGCTGCTTGAGAGCACAACACAAGAAGATGAAGAAAAAAGAGCTCTTGACAAAAGGAAATATGTGGCTCTGAGCAGGAAATGTAAAGAAATTGAACAGGTGTGTGTTATGGTCAAAAAAATGCTACGAGAATAATAAAAATGACCAGATCAACACCACTGAAACAAAGCTTCACACAGAAGTGCTGCAAACACGCAGGTACACAGCCCTCCCCTCACTAGCAGCTAAACAACGCTTTGAGGTGTCAGTAGAACTCCACTTTCAACAACACTGAAGTATTAAAATGTTATGATAAACATTAACCTGGCTGGTACATTACTGTTATATTATTATCTAATAGCCACATTATCTATCTGTTAAGTTATTATTAAGGTAGTGACTATGGCTAATAATAAAACTTTGTTAGGGCTAGGCAGCAAACCGTACCAGTCCTGCCCATAACATGTGATGTTAATGGGGAGGGTGTTCATTTAAAAGTAACACATTACTTTTATCTAAAAAGTGTTACATTGTGTTGTTAAGTGCCAGAT